GACGGGGTTTCACCATGTTGACCAGGATGGTCTCGATCTCTTGACCTCGTGATCCACCCGTCTCGGCCTCCCACAGTGCTGGGATTACAGGCTTGAGCCACCGCGCCCGGCCGACACTCAGTATTAACTATCTCAGCCATATAAATATTGAAAAGGATTTTTTCATTTGCTTTAGAAGAGCAAATCAAAAGTCTAGCCAAGAAACTATTTGCTAAAGAGTTTAGTATGGATAGAGGAGAGCCAGGGGCTATTTTTCAAGACATTGGGAGAATGACCCAAAAGGCATTTCAGAGATCCTCCAGGCAAGCTAGGACTTTGAGGGCAAGGTTTCTAGAGAGGCACCTAAGGGAGCTCAGGATTTGCTGCCCAGGGCTATTCCAGACTTTGGTCCCCAAATTCTGATGCAGCACACCTTAGCTGCTCCATGTTTTTGGCTCAGGTGGGTCCAGTACAGCTCAATCAACCACTCTGGAAGGTACACGACATAAACCTTGACAATGTGTATGTGGTATTAATTCTGCAGACATGTAGAATGCAAGAGTTGTAACTTTCTCCACTTAGATTTCAAAGGATGTCGTAGACAGCCTGGGCACAGGCAGAAACGTCTCAGGGGTGAAGCCGACACAGACAGCCACCATTAGGGCAATGCCCAGCAGAACTATGGGACTGTGGTCACTGCAGAGTCCCTACTTGGGCAACACCTACTGAGAGCTGTGGGAACGGGGCAGCTGTCAAGACCCCCCAAAACTGTAGAGCATGCAGAACTGTACCAGCATGCAACTCTAGCTTGGGAAAGCTGCAGGCATGAGACTCTAATCTATGAGATCTGCTGGGTAGACTGACCCCAGCAAAGCCACATGGGTAGGGCTGCCTGAGGCTTTGGGGGCCCAACCCTCCAGCCCATTGTGCCCAGAATAGGGGACATGGAGTCAAATAAGATTATTCTCCAGCTTTACAAGTTAACATTGTTTTCCTTGTTGGATTTTGGACTTACTTGTTACAGCTACCCTTTTTTCTTGGCCACTTCTCCCTTTTGGAATGAGAATGGTTACCCTATGTCTTGGCTATTTTGGAAGCACATGACTTGTTAATTTCACAGGCTTACACCTGGAGAGGAATTTGCTTAAGGATGAATCATGCCTTGAGCATCACTCACATTTGATTCAGATGAGACTCTGGACTTTGGACTTTTGAGTTGATGCTGAAACGAGTTAAGACCTTTGGGGCTATTGGCATAACATGAATGTATTTTGTATATGAAAAGGACATAAGTTGTGAGGTGCCAGGGATTGAATTCTATGGTTTAAATGTTCCGTCTAAAATGCATGTTGAAATTTAATTGCTATTGTATTACGAGGCAGAACCATTAAAACTGAATATGCCATGAGGGCTCCACCTTCATGAAAGAATTCCTGTCATTATCTCAGGAGTGGGTTAGTTATTCCAAGATTGGGCTTTTATATAAGTGAGTTCAGCTCCCTGTTGCTCTTTCTCTCATCCTCTCTTCCCCATTCTGCCATGGTATTACACAACAAGAAAACCCTTAACAGATGGGGGCCCCTTGACTTTGGATGTCCAGCCTCTAGAATCATAAGAAATAAATGGGCACAGCAGCTGCGCATCCCGGGGTTGCAGACCTCCTCACGTTTGCAGCGTAGCTCGAGTCGGTCAGCACCTGAGGACCTCAGCAGCCATGTCGAAGCCCCATAGTGAAGCCGGAACTGCCTTCATTCAGACCCAGCAGCTGCATGCAGCCATGGCTGACACATTCCTGGAGCATATGTGCCGTCTGGACATTGACTCACCACCCATCACAGCCCGGAACACTGGCATCATCTGTACCATTGGCCCAGCTTCCAGATCGGTGGAGACGTTGAAGGAGATGATTAAGTCTGGAATACATGTGGCTCGTCTGAACTTCTCTCATGGAACTCATGAGTACCACACGGAGACCATCAAGAATGTGCGCGCAGCCACGGAAAGCTTTGCTTCTGACCCCATCCTCTACCGGCCCGTTGCTGTGGCTCTGGACACTAAAGGACCTGAGATCCGAACTGGTCTCATAAAGGGCAGCAGCACCGCAGAGATGGAGCTGAAGAAGGGAGCCACTCTCAAA